ATAAGGCAACTAACTGTAATATTTGTTTAAACAATGAAGAATTTTTAACATTCATTGCAACTTGTGCAGACATGTTTGACTAGGTCTTGGCTTTAGGTTTCTCAACTAAAATTTTGTATGCTTCTCTCTCATCTGTTTCACAAAAGTTATGTCTCGACCGTCCCCTCCTCCTTGATGTGCGGATCCTAATAATTTTTGGTGAGAAGTACAAATCATGAATCTCTTTAGTGGCTGCAATGTTTGTTATAATTTCAATTAATAAGCAGTGTTAAAAGTAAATTACTCTGTTAGCCGTACCTAATATTTTATAAAAACCAGTAATTCTTTAATTTTTAAATTTAAGAGTTGTGCTAACCATTTTATAGCTTTATTTTGTGTATAAGATAGTTGACATATTCCATTTCTTTTTACTTCTATTTCAAGTTAATTTTAAAATTCTGTTCAATTTATGCTGATATAATTATTTTCAGAAATCCTGATAATTAAACTCCGTAAAGGACAGGAACTAAAGCTCAGAGCATATGCGAAGAAAGGTTTTGGTAAGGAACATGCAAAGTGGAATCCAACAGCTGGTGTGTGTTTTGAATATGATCCTGATAATTCCATGAGACACACACTTTTTCCCAAACCAGATGAGTGGCCGAAAAGTGAATACACAGAATTAGAAGATGACTCGCAGCGTAAGTTTTACATCAGTACTAATAATGTGCACTGGATTTGAATTTGATACCATTGTTATTTATTTGTCTTTCTGGTTTATTAATTAAAAATTAATTAAACCCGTGGCATAACAGCTCCAGAGAGCCAAAGCCGACTAGCTTGACTGCTGGCCTCACGTTCACATGCCTAAGTAGAGGTGAACAATCATCCAACCAGATATAGGGTGACGTGTGGTCAGCACAACGAACCCCCAGCCATTGCTAGTTTTCCTGACCGGATTACGCTACTCATTGTAGCTCCCCAATTTCCTCACGATGCTGGGTTGGCACCGGTCACATACACTGGTCGAAAGCTCATGAGAAAATTTCTTTTCCCCCGAGACTCGAACCAGCGCGCATTGCGTATCGCCGGTCCGAAGCATGATGCCTCAGGTCGCATGGCTAAGGTGCGGGACTCTGGTTTATTATTGGTGATGTATTAACTGTGTAGGTTGTGTGTTGGGGGTTACAGATACAGACATTATTTATAATTTATACCATGACGCTATCCCGCCTTACAAAATAGTTGTTACCCAGTCTGCTGCTATGTCTAGTATATTCCCACACATACTTTGTGCTACCGAGACCGAGTGCTCAAGTATGTAGCCGCCATTTTACACAATCCATGATGATGATGATGATGATGATACTTGTCTTGTGTTACAGATGAGGCTTCATACACTTGGGAAGCAAAGCCAAATAAATTTTTCTTCAATGTGGAGAGTTCTGGATCGTTACATCCTGAGAACATTGTAATGATGGGTGTGGCTGTACTGAAAAACAAATTGTCTAACCTGCAGACCCAGCTCAGCCACGAGCTACAACATGATGCTCTTACAATCAGTTAATTAAATTAGTTAGAAGGAAAAGTTGAAGAGTAAATTAGATTAAAAAAAACATATTCAGTTACTCGTTGATTTATGCAACAGTTGTGTTGTAAAGAAAAGTCAATTGCATAATTTAAAAAGTAAAATCCCTTTTCCCCTCATTCCTACTCTTCTTCCCATTGAAATGAAGTCACATTCTTTGGACACTCATATAATGAGGAGTACTGGTAGTTATAAGCGTAGCGTAAATATGTGAGAGTTTATCAGATGGATGGTTCTTGTTTGAATCAGTGCTGTCTGTGAGACAATATTAGACAGGTAAGTGCTGCATTTCCCTCTGTGTTTTCATTATTAAATACATGTGTTTAATTGTAAAATTCATTATTACTACCTTCATTTAACCCATCCCCATCATTTTGATAATAGAGGTGCCATTATGTGAGTGTTGTAACTCTTTCTCCGTCTCTCAATTATACTGAGATGGACACCTGCATGTATCATGTCTGGCAGTTGGTGGAAATCAGCAAATTAATAAAGATAATGTGAATCTCTCTCCAATCACTGGTCAGCTGCTGGCAGCAGGTGTGAAGAAGTGAGCACTGGCTTTAGATTGCTAAAGAACAGTATCATGTTGATTGTAGTGATGGTTGTGGCTGATGATGGATGTGGTTGGTCCATTGGAGTTACTTATCTGATTAAAGATGTCATACACTTCAACTTTAATTATGTAACAAGTTTAGAGAAATTCTTTGCTGTCAGAAAATTTTTGAATGTTCCTGAAACAATTACCACATAAAAAAGGTGTAATTAGTAGTGGAAAAGGTTTCATGTAATCAACAAATTGCCACTGAAATTTTCAATATCAAACTTATATTACTTGACTAGCAGCTATCAATATTACTGTCTACATGTAACCAGTACTTATTGACATCCTGCTATTACAATGAGAAATGTGTACATTTGGTTGAAGAGGAATCACTTGGAAGACAAATGGAGCTGGTAAAAGAAGTCTTAAGGAAGGGTGTTTGGGAGTGTGGATTGGATTAATCAGGTGGTGGGCTCTTATGAACAGGGTAATGAACTTGGTGTGTCACAAAATGAGAATTTTTTGGTAAGGGCATTACATTAGCTCTCCAAAGAATCTGTTCAGTGGTGTTTGCAGTCTCTGTTGTATTCATCATCTGAACTGATAGGTGGCAACGTAATAATTATGACGTATTGAGTTGAACATGTGTATGTTACGCTCCGTGGTGTGTTTTATGGTTGGTATTTCGTAATTCAGTGATTAATGAAAGCGGATATTACTATATTATCCAAAATAAAATAGTACGTTTATTATTCTTACAGTTTACACGCTATTGTAATCAAAACTACTACCTACGATGTTACAGAATTTAATATATTCGTATTTATAACATGCATACATTTTACTGATAAGTAATGTAACAAACTAGAAACAGTTTTCAATGACTGGTGATTTTGACTTCACTATTCCTAAGATCTGCATCCTATTCTTCGAACAGCAGGGGAAAGACATCATTCCTCGTTTTGGCTTGTTTAGTAAAATGGCGGACACCAAGCTGTATGATGTGCTAGGAGTTAGTAAGAGTGCGTCCGATCTCGAAATTAAGAAGGCAAGTTCTTGTTCAATATTATTATAAGTGAAGTGCTTTTAGTTCGATTAATACTATTTTATTTATCTATAGCTGAGGAACCTATGATAGTATTGAATTCAGTAGGGAAACCAGGAAGTGTAATTTGCCAAGGCCACCTCGCATTTTACACGAGTCTGATTGAAGTTAAATACAGTAAGCTGACGTAATGTGTCATAAATAAAAAGTTGATATGTGATTTATTTTTGCGAATAGTAACGTTCTGCAAAGTAAAAGTCATCTTCTTTGTTTTACTTACGGACCTCTTACCAAGTCTAATCGAAATAATTTGTACATATTGCCTCAGAACTCATTTTGTTTTAACATTTATATATTTGCGGTATTTCATCCGTCAGTTTAAAGAGCAAGCTTTGTCACCTCAGGTACAAAGAAATGCCTAGGTCATATACCGTGCTCAAAATACCAACTTGTTGGGCGGTCGGTTTCTTATCAGTGAAGTCGAGTAAAATAATTGAAATATTAATTATGCTTACTGTCGTCTTGTGCGATGAAGGTTGGTTTTTGGTGTGCAAGGTACAGAGATTTACCAGCAGGAAGTTCTTAATGGGCCAACGAGATGTAGTTCCTGAAGTTCACAAACCTTTGTTCAGAACCATAATTTCTGTATAGAGAACGGCGTTTTTTTCTCTCTTGCCAGCTCACGGTAGACAGTTATCTCAATATTTAACTTAAATGTAGTAGATTTGGGGTAAATAATAGTAGTAACCAATGATGATGTAATTGTAATAAAAAAACAAAAAGACAACAACAAATAATGTATTTTAATTGCATGCTGGCACTGTCTTAATTATTGGAAGTGGTATTTCTTAGGGAGATATAAGTTTAATTATGGGTGGATGAGTTGTGAGATATTTTCCAAAGATTAAGAATACCTTTCTCTATGTTTACATGGACAGTTCTGTTTAGTTTTTGGTTTGTTATATTTACAATTTTTATGGGTGTTACTAGAAACCCAGGGTTGAGGGAGCAGTGTAGATGCACTTACAGTGTTGCAGTTTTTGTGAAATATTGTTGAGGGTATGTTATTAGGATGTGATGTAATGACAGTCGGAATTAGTTTCTCAGCTCTGGAGAAAGTTCATCCCTTTTGTATTTTGGTTTTGGAACTAGTTGGTCATGCCAACCTTACTGTTATTTACTGCTTTACTGTTAACCTAGTTTCACTTATTAACTAGCCAATGGTTTGAGCCCACATCAGTGCCTTATCTGTTTCTAACATTCTCTAGAAATCTCCAACATCTTTTCATAGCAGTATGATTTACTTTATTCCTGGTATGATAATCAGGGACACCCATGTCTTCTGTATGGCAGTACTTATATGAAAATATAACCAGGTCATAGCTAGCACAGAAATCAAAATTTACTATTTTAGTTTATCTCCCATCCATGTTAGCCAGTGACTTGTTAGAATAGAACAGAATTTATTTACATTCCATAGATCCTTTATAGGCCCAAGCCAAGGATGTAAAACATGTCATAGCATGGATACAATACTTGTTTCTAATACAAATATAAATTACATAGTTATGACAGTAATTTACAATCAACTACAGTATTATCACAAGAAATCATACCTGCTGTTGCTTACATTAATTATAATAGCTGAGAATTTGTAGTTGTTGTAAATTCTTCTGTGGAGTATAATAGGTGAAATAGGAGGTACTCTTTTAGTGCTGGCTTTAACTACTTTATATTGTTATTCAGACTTGGCATGTGAAGGTTATATCTGTATCTTATATGTATATTATGTATATCTGAGTATGTTTGAAATTTTTATGTGTTGTCCACTACAAATGATAATATTAAGAGCAAGACTTCACTGTCTAGTTGAAGAATATTAAATTTCTTAATTCCTTGCATGAAGGCTGGCCTTTTATTGCCTGTGATTATTCTGATGATTTTCTTTTGAACATAAAATACTTTTTTGCTCTCTGTTGAGTTTTGCCAGAAAATAATTCCTGTGACACGATCAAATGGAAATAAGCAAAGTAGACTAATTTTAAAGTTCCTGTTTTCATGATTGGTGTGACAGTCATAGCAAAACATGCTGAGCTTAGTTTAGGGATAATGTGTTTAATATGTGTTTTTAATCCATTTTTTTTCAAGGTAGTAAAGATATCATTTATGCATATTTGGAAAAAGTTAATTTTTGGATTCTAATCCACCCTTTTCTAACCTTATTAAAATCCTGCTTTGGATTAGTATGGTACTGTGCATGAGTTATTGTCAACGCCTTCATTGTGGGTATAATATTATACTTGGTTTTAAATCTTGCTGTAATTATCTTCTCCAATATTCAAACTTGATGTTTTTTTGTTGTTTTTTTTTTACCAAGATTCATCCTGCTGTGGTCTTTCAGAATAAAGAGAAATTATGCTTTCCTCAATTCTTAATTCCATCAGACTTAATTTGCTCTCATTATTTCAGTCCTATTTATTATTTTATTTATGACTTGCCGTATTCTACCAGCAGTGTCTGTACATTTCAACTTTCAATTCGTATTTTATGTTTTAAGTTAAACATCATCAACACAGGATTCATCTGGCTCTTTGCTTTTGTTTCTCTAATATTTAATTTTTAAGGTGTTTGAGTTATTAGCCTATAACATCTGCATATGATGGAATTTCTACCTTGGCCTCCAGACAGGCAGCTGCTTTAGTCTGGCCTTTCTACTTTGACCTTATCAACAAGAGTGACCCTACCAAGAGCCAAGGGTACAGTTAACATTTCTGTCAAGTTCATGAAGGCGTGCAAGCCCTCCTACCATGCCCAGGCAGTAGTGCCTTGAGAGGGAAGATTATTACTAATTTCAGGACAATAATTTATGTGGCACTGGCATTGCTTCTGCCTTACAGTTTGGTGGTGATGGTGTGGGTTATGATGCCTTATGGTTTTGTAGCTTGTTGCAAGCATTTTGGTGGAAAGTGTTACCTTCATCCTGAAGATGGTAACCACATGCAAGACTGCAAGGCATCATGACCCAGAAGACTGTGGAAATGCCGGATGAGACTGGGGCTTGCTCAGCACGCTACATTCAAGACAGCTGTTTAGAAATAACTTAACCAGAACTGCAAAATTCAGATAATTTTCCAGAAACTTAACCTGTCGGTAACAAAGCATATGCTAAACTAACATTAATATTCTAGGGAGTATCCAAACTAACGTTATCGATTGCCTGCTCTATCCTCGGAGTTCACAAATGGTCCAAGCTTCTTGGAGTCCTACACTTGAATGTCTTACTTGCGGCTACATGTAAACTTAAGTCTTCTTCTTGAATCTCAAAAGTGGCTTTTGATTTGTAATCTGAGATGGGGCATGTATCCAGTAGAGTTCCATTTGCCAAAGTTTTGGAAAATTAGGTGGCTATGTTCAGTTATTCAGAACACCTGCAAATATGATATTTGAGTGGTATGCCTGCCTGTACTGTTTATCACATTTTACTAGAGTGATTAAATCAATTAGGATGAAAATGGGTTCATATGCTTGTAACTTTATTTATCAGTTGTGAAAATATAAGCCCTTGAGAATGGATAAACCAATTTTGGGCAAATTATTTCCTTCCCAGGATGAGCATTTCTGTGGTACAGTCATTTTTGAGTTGGAATTTTCAAAAGACCAAATCAGACATTATTTATAAACATAATTACTTTCAAAAATACTATATGGTACAACAAAATTTCTGTGTATCGTAGTGTGACTGTGACTTCTGTTTACAGGCTTACCGTAAGCTAGCCAAGGAATTTCATCCTGATAAGAATCCTGAAGCAGGAGACAAGTTCAAGGAAATATCATATGCATATGAAGTCCTGTCGGATAGCAAGAAGCGTTCAACATATGACAAATATGGACTGAAGGCAATGCAAGAAGGGGGTCAGGATGGCCCAGGCTTTGGCGCTGATGATTTGTTTTCTCACCTTTTTGGTGGTGGTATCTTTGGGATGGGCATGGGGGGTAGCGCGCGAGCCAGGCGTCAGCAGCGAGGTGAAGATACAGTCCATCCGCTAAAGTAAGTTTGAATCGTATGATTTATTATATTTGTTTAATGTAACTTTAGGATTGTTTGTTAAGTATCTGTGTTGCAGCTTAAATGCTTCTTGGTTGATCGTATGTATCAGTTTGGGATGAATTTCCTTTTAGGGTACTGTCTCTGCATCCATCCTCAAAGACTGGCTGGATGATGACACAACTGTTTGCTGTGTTTATTTCAGAATCGGGGACAGGCACTGCTAGCATCTTGATCCTTGTATATGTTTTTTATTCTCTTCTCCCTTGCTAGCCAGAAAGAAAGTATGACAGTAATTATATTATCTTATAGTAGCAGGGTTTTTTTAGTTATTGTTCTGACTACATGTTTCTGTGAGTACTAAAAGCATGTATCAGACACTTTTAATATTGAAGATTGCTGTCATGCTGCATCCGTCATCAGGAGGGTGTAACAGCAAAATCAGTTTGTTTTCCCCCTGAATCTAAGTAACAGCTATAGCCATGTCATAATTTCTGACCAGTGTAATTACCTGTTTTGAACACCTGATACATAGTTTTTTGTGGTATCTTCATATTAATATATGTTGTTGTTTCAGGGTATCATTAGAGGAATTGTACAATGGCAAGACAGCTAAACTTCAGCTTAGTAAAAATGTAATTTGTGAAGTATGTGATGGGTAAGTAATTTTCTTCCATTACGTTAACCCTTCTACTTGTTGGTTGACATTTCATCTTATATATTGTTAAAAGCTTGGTACAAAAGGGAATAATAATCGTGAGAAGTCTTATTGTATTAAAAGATTGTCTATCCTGGGGAGACACTAATGGCTTTTCAGCCCTTAATGTTATTATGATTACGTATCTAATTTCTTTGTGCTGTCCTGAGCTGAATCAGCACACTTACAAATTATAATTTTATTATTTTATGTTTACAGGAAAGGTGGTCGAAGTGGGGCGTCTCATACTTGCCGCACCTGTCGAGGATGTGGCATTAAAGTTACGTATAGGCAGCTTGGACCTGGCATGTCACAACAGCTTCAGTCTCGTTGTTCAGATTGTGGGGGAGAAGGTAAGGTGTCTTGTCTGGTCATATTATACTGCAGGAGAGTTGGAGATTACTCTTGGTATGTGATTAAAAAAATCTAAGTTGTTCTTGAAGTGAGCGGTTATCTCACCTTGCTGCCAAGGAAAGTTCCAAGTAGCCATTGGATAGGAATCGTGTGGGCTCGATAGTCAGACTGTACCTGGTGGGAGGAGAAGGAAGTCTCTGCCTATACCAGGAGTTGAATTCTTGGATATTCAGCCCATAGCTTAGTTGTTACATTGTCTGGGCTGAATAATTACTTTGCCTCGCAGTAAATGTGGTTCGCTATGTGCAAAACACTGATTGTAGGCAGTGGATCTTTTATGTAAGATGTGGGCTACAGAATTCCACGTTTTTTATATCAGGAAAGGTTCAGATGAAATGGTCTAATGCTTGGTTTGGACCCAAAGAAGAAGATTATGTGTGCGCATTCTTCTCTTTGTAATTATGGTAATGTGCTCTTCACTAAATATTATTAGGCTGGTCAAATTGAGTATTGTGCGGAGTAATTGTTGGATATGATGAAATGAAGGCAAAGGCACCTCTCGATCATCAGAAACTAAGCTGAATTATTGGTGGGAATAAATAAGCACACGGCAGAACATTACATACCATTTATCTGCTCTGACATTGCCTACATTTGTATTCAGGCAAATTTAACCCTTTCCTTGCACAGAATAATTACTTTGAGTTTGTAACGTCTGTGGAGAGATGAGAAATATTTACAAGATTTTAAATAGATTATGTGAATGGAAGAAGCCACTCGAGACACCTGGAATAAGGTGATAACAGCATTTACTTGATTCAAAATGGAGTTCATTGCTAGATGTTGTAAATATGGCAATGTGCCTTTGGAGTCTCTAAATTTGATCGGCCGAGAAACTACCGGCTTATAAAAGAAGTCTTTGTTCTATGGAATTAGTTTTGAAACCAAACATTTTTGTTGCTCTTTTAATAGGTGAAGTTATTAGTGAGAAGGACCGCTGCTCAACATGCCGTGGCAAGAAAGTAGTGAATGAAACTAAAATCCTGGAAGTTCACATTGACAAAGGAATGAAGGAGGGTCAGAAGATTTACTTCCGAGGCGAGGGAGATCAGCAGGTGAGTTAATTGGTTTAAGGCATATCTAGTCATTGTTTCGTTGTAGGTTCTGACTTTGCAAATACAGATTCCTGTATTTTGCGTTCTTGTTTTGCCATAGGAAATTTCATTTGTATTTTTGTCAACATGCATTGATGTTCCTCTGCAGACTGAATATGTTTTTAATTTAACACAGTTCGTACATAGTTTACCAGATAAAACTCTTGGAATACTTTCTACCAGTGTAGAATTTTTTTCTTAACATCTCGTGTTGAAATTCATAAAAAGTTAAAAGTGTGATTATAATGTAATGAATATGGCCTGTAATGAGAATGTCAGTATAGTGAACATTCTTCTATCTAGCTATGACTTTTTTCTACGTACTTTTGCCCTGATCATACTTGCAGTTTTCTTACAATATATTTATTGTAAGATTTGAGGTTTTCACAGCGGTGAGTATGGAGATTTCTGTCTTCTGGGTTGTTGCGCTGTGTAGTCTGGTAGATGTTTACCAACGTTTCAGAGGACATCATCGCCCTGATGACGGAGGCAGTATGACCTCTTTAACGTTGGTAAACATCTACCAGACTACACAGCGCAACAACCCAGAAGACAGAAATCTTCAATATATTAATTGCTGGTAGTCTGGAAAGGTACCTTTGAGTCACCCTCTGTGCCTCAGTTTTTCTGTTCATTGTGCGTACGTCAGTGTATTAAGCCGTGGTGGCTTGATGCACTGGACGAAGCTGCCATCTGTCTTAGGGTACATATTACATTGTCACCATAGACAAAACACCACATTAATGAAGGTAGCAGTCATGTATCTCGTGCTGTGAACATAGAATTTTATAGAAACCACTCTTGCAGCCTGAAGTTGAACCTGGTGATGTAATCATCGTTTTGCACCAGAAACAACATGATAAGTTTCAGCGTTCAGGTGATGATCTAGTGATGACACATACCATCACACTTACAGAGGCACTCTGTGGGTTCAGCATGGTGCTTAAACATCTTGATGGTCGTGACCTTCTGGTCAAACATCCTCTAGGACAGACTATTAAACCAGGTACGTTTTGAATATTGTTAAGTAGGATTTTAGGTTTTCACACCTGTGTATATGAAGGTAACGGTTGTAGTGCCATTTCAAGGGTCCCTGCTGCCTCCTTCATTAGGGTGATGAGTCGCTCTGATGGTGGAAGCAGCAAGCACCTCTGAAATGTAGGTAAACTTCTCCCAGACTATGCAGCTCAACAGCTCACAAGAAAGCCATGTTCAACTTGTGCAGGTTATCAACTCACATAAAATAAGTGCCCCTCTTTTGTGTCTGTAGTGACTACATACTTCACTGTTGTGATGCAGATGATTTACATATGAATTTTAATGATCAGTCAAAAATGCAGAATAGTTTTGGTAAATTAACCTTTTTTTGGCCAAAAGGGAAACTCATTTCTCATTCTTTGTTATTTATAATTACTTGAATGGGAATATATGATCTTGTTATATCATGATATTATTAAAAACATTACAAGTTCACAGCCTTGTGTGACTGAAATGCTTCTGTGAAGAGCAGAGATGAGTTTGTAATTGAATGATGAAATTGAAGTTATGTGTTTATTTGGTAATATTCCCCTTAAGATTGCATTGTAATTTTGTTTCATAAAAAATTGATAATCGTAACTAATGTAATAATGGCAGTGGTGTTTCTTGGGTTTGTGTGTTCTACCTTTTCCGCTGTAGTTACAGACATGTCTTCAGAAATGTAATTTGGTGTGATACAGGCTAATGAGGGTGAGTATAGGTCGGTATAGTGACCTTCTGTCTGTTATTATTGTGTTGTTTTAGGTGACGTTAAGGGTATTGAAGGTGAGGGTATGCCTCATTATAGAAATCCTTTCGAGAAGGGCAACTTGTACATCAAGTTTGATGTCACCTTTCCAGAAAGTCATTTCACAAATGAAATAAAACTCAAGGTATGTTTATATATTTTGTATTTCTATGAAGCACTCTTTAAAGCTGTGTTAACAACTGTGATACATCTCTATGGCTTCCTGCGGACTACCAAACAGTTGTACATTGTCAGAAATATATGAATTCAAAATGTATTATGCTCCGCATGTATTTTTAAGAAATTTTAATGCAATACATTGACATTCCTTGGGTAGGTGCAGTGGTAAGTTTCTTAGGAATATGGGATGTCCTGACACATTTCTGAACGTTTTTCCATCAGTCCTGTGTTTTGAAGATGCTTGTAAATCGTTCAGTGTGTGTTCTATCAGTGACTGACTTTGCATGTACATTTTTGAATTGCAACAAATTTTCATTTACTGCATTAAATAAAACTTCAAATGAGGTAGATCTTGCGAAAGGTTTGAAGATTTTACTCTAAATTACCTATTTATAAGTCATACTTTTGTTTGTGGCTAAACATTTTTGTTGAAGATGTCAAGTGATTGTATGCTAGCCTCTCATTGGTTGACTGGCCATGGAAGTGTCCTTCACACACTTCACATGATGTATCTGTGATTATGTTAACACACTGTAGAAATGAGACTTATTTAATGTGTTGTTATTTCAGTAATAATTTGAATATGTTAATTCATTAGGACAGAGAGCAACCACTAGTTCTGGTAAGTGTTTGTGGATCCTTTGATTTCTTCAGCATGACTGAATGTTCTCAACCAGGGTGTTCTAAACTTTCTGATGAAGAAACGTGCCTGATGATTCTAAATACGACTGTGTCTGGGTCAGTTTCGTTACGAAATATCACCTGCAACCATGAATGCTAACTCTGCCTATCTAATCTCGACATTTCATACTACAACTATAATTTTTTTGCATTTCCCCGTACTTCTGTCATGTTCCTTTACACTACTCCCAGTTTTCCATCCACTTGTGTGGTTGTCCCACTTATTTGCTTGGTGTTTTGTGGTAAATGAGGGTAAAGCTGTTACATGGTTCCAGAAGGATTTAAGCTTGTATCTTGAGACACCATAAATTAACTTCCCTGGGAATTTGAACCAAAACAAAGTTAGGCAAATTATATCTACAACTCCAATGATTTTAAAAATTTTGAATAGAAGGTGAGGTGGTGGCTGTTTTTATCACTACCTCAGCAAGAAAGGAGAGTGAAGTGTAAGTAAACGTAACCATCCTGTTAAAATAAATGAAGTGCAAATGCGCAGTGAAAGCAGATTATTTCCTCCTTATAAATTGTGTTGGGAAATTATGCATTGGAAGAAATTGCATCAGTATGGTAAGTATCCTGTGTCATCTTGTAGTTAAATGTGTTTTGTAACATTTGACACATTAATTGGGAAATTTCATGCAGGAACTGGAGCAATTGTTACCACCACGACCCACATTTGAACTGCCTAAAGGAGAACACGTAGAAGAAGTTGACCTTCACGAATATGATCCGAATGAACGCCATGCTGGTATCTCTGGCCGACAAGAAGCGTATGCCAGCGATGATGATGAACGTGCTGGTGGTCCTGGTGGTATTCAGTGTGCTCATCAATGATGGCCCTACTGCAACCTTAGTCTGGCCAATTTGCCATGTGGCTAACTGCCTAAGGATCCTGGGAGCTGTATGGACTTTTGTTGAATTTATTTAAATAAATGTCTTAATTGAAGGATAATTGGTCGGTTCTTAACTGCCTGCTTCTAGCACCATGTCTTTTCCAAAATGTGTTTGATGTCATTTTTATGGAGGCCACACTCAATTGAGGTGAGATTTGTATACTTTAATTTTATTTTATGGCAGAATTTAGTCCTTTAAGCGTCTTCATATATTAGAATAATACAGTAGAAAAGGATACATAGGTCAGTCTTGCTGTAATGTTTACAATTAAAATGAAAATTTGGTTAAAAATTAAGCACACGAGCATTGTTTATATATTTAAACTTTCCACCCAACAGTGGTCACACTTTAACAATGCTAGTTGCCAAAAAGACAAAATACTATTATAACACAAAAATGGGAGGGGGTAGCACTGAACTGCTATGATACGAATTTTCCGTCTGGAATAATTAAAGTTTTTGTTACAACTGGATTTTGAGAGATTGAATGATCTGTTTTAATATGGACAGAGTGAATATGAATGAATGGTTGCTGTTACTATTTACTTAATAAAGCAGAAGGTAAAATAAATATATGTTTATGTCTTTGCAGAATTAGTTGTATGAAATGTAGTGAGAACTGATGCTGTGGTTTTCACAATGCAGAATGATTAATCACATGTGTAAAAATTATTGCAGTATTCAGTTATTTTTTGTATATGCCAGAAACAGTCTGCATGATTCCAGAACAACCTGTCCAGCCATCCTGAAGAAAATATTGATAATAATGCTCATTAATATTAAGATGTATGCAAATTGTCTCTTGAAACCCAGCATGTATATAATCTGTAATCCAATTTACATGATGATAAGACTTTCTAGTATAAGGAGTGAAAGATTATTTAATCATTCTCATCTGTATGGTAAATTATTTTGTTTGTGGGTGAAGAAGGTGGGACAGGTTGAAACTGTACTGATAGCAGAAGATTTGAGAATTTTAAACTTATTAGCTCAGTGCCTGTTAAGACTTGTACCAATATGATTGGTAACAGTCTTTTGAATTGCATAACGTATGTCCGTTATATTCTGACACATCATGTATGTCATAAATGCATTCAAAGCAACATAGTTTGTTCCCGTCAATGTTGCCTTATTTTTTACAGTCTTTAATATGTATTTTGTATGTGGCAAAGCTCAAATATTTGAAGATGACCATAACAAATCAAAATTTGCCTCATAAAGAGGTTAAGACCACGTTAAATTCAGGGAAAGCTTACTACAGTTTGATTAAGAATCTTTTGTCTTTATGTCTAAAAATAAAACTGCTTTAATTTTATTTCTGAAGTAATGTCAAAATCAGTGCTGGAAGTATCGAATGTAATCGCAACTACACCTACATGTAATTAGTTTTACTTTTGTTAAATATACAGTAGTACATCCTTTTACGAAGACCTTGTACAAAACTATAATTTTACCTAGTTTTATGTGATTGAACTTGGGCTCACAGCTAATCAAAGAATGTACATTAAGGCTACAGAACGGTGCTGATGAAATTATTTGGACCTAAAAGAGGGGATGCAACCAGAAAATTGTGTCTTTTAATGGATAGCTTTATGATTTCTATTCTTCACTAAGTAACATGAGTATCGTAATAGTAAAATAAAGCAGGATCAGATGGGTTCATCTTGTAGGTCGTATGAGGGACATGAGTAATACATAAATATTTTAATTGTTAAATGTGAAGGAATGATACTACATAGGGCAGTTGCATTTAAATTCTGCGTAAATGTATGGCACTTCTGAGGCAGCCTCTGCTGGTTGCATTCCAGTTCATGTGCAAGAAGAGATTAGAGTTCCCAAACCCGTAAACACCGAGGTCTGTGTTACGTATGAGGCGATAATTGGTCTGATGTGAAGGATCAGGTGTGTAACATTACATTAGTTACTCATGGCTGAAAGTGTACAGAATACGTTTTAGATTCTTGTTATTTAATATAAATGTATGTACTAGCTATCACAGTAGGCTGAAGGACTGCTCTTTATTAATCATTTAATATATGTAGAAAAATGTCAGATCAATCATCAATTTCCAATCCTAAGGGTGATAATGGAGGGAGAATAAAAATGTAAAGAACTGGCAGTCATTCTCCAGATGATGGGAGCAGAGAAAGAGTCTTTTGGCAGTCTGTGCTTTTGATTCATAGGTAAAAGTATGTAATATAGGAGTAGAAGGTTACTCACATTTGTGCAACTATTTAAATCTAACGAAGTTGTCTGCTGTATTATAATGTTGTTCTCAGACATAATTTTCTGTCATGTGTAATTAACTGAAATTAAACATTTTAAGTACCGAGTAAGTCTGAGAGACAGTTTGGAAGTTGCATACTTTTTAACTCTGTGATGATGTAACTATATTGAGTCCTGGGAAGGATGTGTTTTCATGGTGGATATGGCTTGGAGAGTAGCTAAATACTGTTTGTGTATATTAGGTTTACAGCACTGTTCTATTATAGTGACCTTAGATTAAATAATGTATAAAGAACTTTCATTTGGCCTGTTGAGGTAACTGGTACTTGTATTTAAATTTGATAAGAATTTATAACATATTCTGTACATATATGGCTGTGAGTATCTAATTTATTAAATTCTGACATTTTTAAATCATATAAGCTCCACTTAATTTTATGCTTTCAGGTACAGTACCCAAATTCTTTTATCTTGTGATTTTAATTTTATTATTTTTAAAATTCTCTCTTATTACATTAGTCATTTAAATGTTCACTATTTCTGTGCCGCCAGAAGATGGTCGATGAACAAGTGAAACTTGTAATAAGTATTTTATTAAACTGAGTTGCCATAATCATTGCAAGTTTAAATGGGCTTCCAGACAGCAGGTAGCTATTTAAATGCTGACATGGGATTATACTTATCAGATTTATTCATGTATTTATTGGTGATGAACTTTTATGTGAAATGTTTTATAAAATTAGTATATCTATGTTCTATCTCTACAGGAAGTGTCTATGTCTGTCTCCAGTGATTCATTGCTTACCTCACTCAGACCAAAATTTAAATACATTTCACAAGGTTCTTTTGTTAAGCCTTTGAAAGTGTGTATTTTTAAAAAAAAAAATGTTACAAAGTACTGTTTTGGAACCTTCCATTAAGTGATGTGTTATCCTACCATACAATCTAGCATAGGCCATTTTGATGGCAGGAATTTAAAAATTACAAAAACTGTTATTCCTCATGGGACAGACATATGGACGAGACTGCCGAACTATCTATTTAGAAAATGTATGTCATATGAAGAAATAGAAACTTGTTAAATTCCACTGAACATACTGTACGGATGCCAAGCGTTTTAAATTGGGTGTAAGCTCATCCCATTCTATTAATTTTTTTTTCAGACTGAAAGAAAACTTGCACAAACAGCTGTCATAAATTAGGATGTCTGCCTTGAGGAAGACAAATGGTCAGCAGATCATCTTTGAATTTTGGCTTGTATAATTTAAAATACAAGTCATTGCTTTCCCAATGGTTTGTTATATAGTTTATCCAGTTGTCAAAAAATTTAAGGCCAGGTCACATATTCAGTTTGCGTCTTTGAAAGTGGCTAATGGTTTGTCCCTTTTTAGTAAGGAAAACTGGTAATTTCAGTTTGTTGGCTATTGTTATTAGCTAGCTAGCTGGGCATTTTTGGCAGGTCGAACAATCATGTTTTATTTGATTTTCATTCCTGTTTAGGAATTATGACATGCAGTAAAAGCCAAAGCTACTGTTATTCCTTAGATATGTAAAAAAAAAAGTACCATCAATATGTGGCTAATTGGCCTTGACACCTGACATAATTGGGTTTCTGCAATACATGCCTACTTGACTGGGGAGAATGGTGTCAACATTTTAGTGTATGTGACTAAAGAAGTAGTAAACCTGCGTTATGTAGTTACTAGAGCACAGAATAGAGGATTGATAAAGGATGAAGATGTTGGTTTCCTGTATTATCTTACAGATTGGCTTCATAGGTGAATTACCTTGGCAGTAATGTCTCGTTGCAAGCCCACCTGTGATAACACAAAGAACTGTTTGCTCTTGAGACTTACATGCAGAAAGGTATTTCTTGACACATTGAATGTTCAGTCTTAGTTGCAGACTTATTTGGTGCTGCAGCTTAATTTAGGTTAGGTCCAAAATTGTGTGTCATTTATTTGTGCTTGAGCCTATTTTATTGTAAAGGAACCATAATTTTTTTTTTTTTTCAAATACAAAAATCTTGGGTAGATGTTCAAGCCATCACAGAACTTCTCAAAAATCAAAGTAAGTTTAAGTTGCGCAGTAACAAGAATTATCACGTGGTGGGTGTTAAATGAGTGTCAGCCACTCTTCGTTTCTACTGCGCGCTTTCTCTGACGACTTTCACAGTGCATTTTAGAAAAAATTGCGTGATTCAGACGGTTTGGTTTCACTGTGTCATAAAAATCAGAAGATCAAGCAAGGATCCAAACTTAGAATGTTAACACAGGCAAGGTAAATGCGTACATTTTAAGGTGTTTATTTCAAGTGGAAGGCAGAAGATGAAGGAAGTTGCGCATTATTGCAAGATTGTCTGCTGTTGCATGTTGTGTAGGGTTAGGGACAGTCAGGTCAAAGTAGGAGACACCTCTCGGAGCGGAAAGGCCGTATTCTCGCCCACCTTGACTGCATAGTAGAGTGCTTTGGCATTCGTTTGTTCTGCATTTTAACCAAACTGATCTTTGTACACACGTTCGCGCTCCATATTTGTATTTTGACGTTTCCCGTCCCCATATCTGGAGATTGTTTCGTTCAAGTATCTTCCTTCCACCGCCTCATATTTTAACTTGTTACCAACATATTTTGATTTTCCATTCACATATTTTCTTGTTGAGATTTTTCCATTTCTTCAAGTTTTTTTACTTAAACCGCTATTTGAATTCTTAGTATCAACGGTGTTTTGGTCCCCTCCATGTTCATTCGGTATTCATCCATGTTCTCCACATTCGACTAAAAGGTTTGCTTCTGTGACCAAATTTTCTTTTACGGTCGTATTGGTTTTAGATTTCATTTTTGTTTATGTTTCTGGCGTATTCTGCATTCGGATGACAAATTATGTTGTGATTTGGATGTTTCGTGCAAGTCTCCTTGCCGATGTATTCAACTTCAGAACAACCACTGTAGTTGTCGCCTCCGTTAGCCTCGCAGCCACGCCCGTTGTGCAGTGTTCGGTCTGACATTGATCGCTACTTTACCGGACGTTCCATTACGTCATGTAGCAGTGGATGATAAGTCCTTGTGTTTGCCTGCAACTTAACCGTCTAAGGTGATACCCATTTTTACCACGTGCTTCTTAATATTCACTAACCATGCATTTTGCTTACAGAATGTATTTTGTTGGTTTCATTTGATTCTTAGAATAACAGCGATCATTTCTTAAGCAGCAGCAACCAAGTGATCCTTTTAATGGAGATGTGTTGTGTTCTCTTTGAGGAAAGAACTTATCTGTTAAATAAAGGGTCGAATAGTAGTCTTATTTACACATAGAAATTGGGAAAATTAAATAGTAAGGAACTTAGTACTTCTTTTTGTCAAATACTGTTAAATGTAGCGTAAGACGGAATAAAGTGGTTGAAATTATGTAAGGGTTGGCAAGAGTAGGCTTGCACATTGGGATTTCTGTGCATAACTGTGTAGCGATTGGCAACGTTTGGAATGGTCATAGAAGAGTTTATTATTTTGGAAATTGTAAGTATGGCATTTAATTTGAAAATGGCCTATAACATTGACACTGTGAAACTGTACCGCTGGTAGAAAATAAAGTTGCGTGTTAGCAACATCGTAGAAAGTAGTAAAGCTGCACTGTGGGGTTAGGAGCTTACACAAAAGAACGCGGGCAGTTAACCGATGTAACGTAATGTTCATCTACGACCAAGTATCATTGTGTAGTGATCCACAGAATGCTCCAATTTCTTCTGTGGACACTGTCAAAGAGAAAGGTAGAGGAGGGGGGGGGGGAACCACAGGAGACTGCAAATCTCGTCAACTTCTCCTTTCAAAAGCCAAGTAGATAAGAGCTTCAATGATAAAGAGCGCAAAACAGGAAACTTAACTGCCAGAGTGACTCGCACGATATTTTGGTCGAAGGAATTGGATCGGAGAGACTGTTACAAAGGACTTTGTAGAAGTAGTGTTCATCTGGCTCAGGATATGGTCCAGTTGCCAACTCTTGTGAACACGGTTTGGAACCTTCTGTTTATATAAGAGACGGGTAATTTTCTGACCAGCTGAGCGACATGTTTGAGAAGTGAAAATGTCGTGTGCTGTTCCCGCTCATGTCTTCAGTTGTGTTAACTGACGAACAAACTCCATGGTACAAGGATATTAATCTCGCAGATAGTTAAGAAAAATTCTGCTTTTATGAAATCACAAGATTC